AAGTAAAGGATTAACCTAGCCAGTAATAGTTTAAAACGTCTTTGTTTACTTTGCATATTGCCAGCTTCTGTGGCTTAGACGTTGTGAATTCAGAAGTTCCTGCATCGATTCCAGTTACATCGACTTGGTTGCAGACCGCCTTAGGCTGATTTAGACAATGGTAAGGTGTGCGGATCTTTATTTTGAATTCGAAGGCAAAGTGCTGACTATAAATTTGCCAAGAAAAAGAAAACAAAAATTAAGACATTATCAAGAGTCGTGGAGAGCACTTTTCGATCCATTGCTCGATCGATAGCAATGCCTACTGCCATTCCGTGTCTATGTAGAAGGTCATTTATGCGATAAATCCATCTTCTCTTGGGATGATCTTTTGATTCCACAATAGACCATTTAACATGTAGTGCCTTTTTTAGGTCTGGTTGTGGCTGAATTCTAACGATATTACCAAACCGTTTGATCTTTTTTTTCTCAATGAATTTGGTGAATGGTGTGACAAACCACCTGAACACTGAAGTCCTGCAAGAGTTAACAGCATGTTTCAGGTCGAAACAAATGCTTTAAATAACTTTAGGGGAGGAATAGCAGTAAATATACGTCTGAGTTACAGAACACACATTTTATTAGGTTTTTCCTAAACTGCAACTGGGATACACAACAAATAGTCATTAGCTGCCACTAAATCTCCCAATAAGACTTCTTTTCATCGGCACTGTCGAATACGATTCAGTTTCAATTTTTAGGAAATATTAAATAACTGTCTAAGAACAAAAATAACTGAGTGTACAAGTTTGCACAAACTAAATGTCCTAAAGCTTGTTGGAAGTTAGTCTGTGTACCGCAGGTGGTTTATATTGGAATCTGCTGAAGCCATGTATTGAATTCTATAAAGACTGACCAACACTCAAGGAACATCGTATTCCACCCTAATTAGTCGAAACTTAAGTGGAGCCGCCGGTGTTGGAAGTTCTTTTGTTTTGGTATTACATCACGAGAAGCTTATTTTATTTGTTATTTTTTTTAAGAATAGATTCTGAGTTGATTTTCGTCTTTAATATACATATTTTCATTAGTATAGAAAAAAACTGTCTTATTAGATGAATTAGTATTTTCTTAAACGGCGCCCGTGGCTTAGGCGTTGCGAGTCCGACTCGTTATTCCGACGTACCGCGATCGAAACCTACTGCTGGCTGCGTGGATTTTTATCATGGTTTGGAACGTCGCAGGTCGACCCACCATAAAATGGGTACCAGGATGGCTGTCCTGGGGAAGTAAAGACGGCCAGCGTAATGCTGATCACATTACCCACCGAGTGCCGATTGGTCTGTAAAAAATATTGGTGCTCTTCCCATATGCCTGATGTGCCTAAAGGCGTGAAAATGGATCTTTACTTTACCTTTACTTTACTTAGTATTTTTTGAGTTAACTTGATTTATTGATATAGCGGTTTACACATTTCCTTTTAATAATTTAAGTTCATTTACTAATTGATTGAGGATTAGTTATTTATTTGGAGAATAATGATTTCTTCAAATATTTTTTTTCTTGGAATTCATCCTACACTTGAGTTCACTAAAATGTGTATTCTTTTGATAATCCCAAAATTGGACACTGGTAGCAAAGTGTTAGTATCAATATGATGTTTATAATCTGTTTTCTGGCGGTCATACTTATGTGTCAGTGTCTTGATACTGGCGTCACAAATCTGGAAATCCAACAGTTACTGCAGAGGAACGAAACTCCGTCTCTACAAGAGCATCATTTTGCCAGTGCTTCTTTATGGAACGGAATGCTGGAGAATGACCAAAAAAAGACGCCTACAAGCTGTCCACCTTCCACCACACATGTCTACGTAGAATTATCAAAATTTTCTGGTCAAATACAATCTCAAACACTAAACTACTTCAAGTCACTGTAAACAAGAAACTGTAAACAGTATGATAACCAAGAGAAGATGGAAAAGGCTTGGCCACGTTATGAGAATGAATACTGATATACCTGCCAAAACAGCTCTCACATGGACACCAGAGGAAAAGAGAAAACAGGGCCGCCCAAAAACAATATGGAGACGAAAGATGGAAAGTGACCTGAGTGTACCATCTTTGACATGGAAAACTGCACTGAAGATTACACAGGACAGGAAAGCATGGAAAGTCCTCTCTGAAGCCTCATGTGCCACTAGGCATACCGAGAACTGATGATGATGATGATGATGATACTGGCGTCAGTTTGTATACAAGTGGACTTGCTCATTAGCCTATTTTTTCTATTTCCGGTCCATTCTCCTATCCTCCGAGAATATCCTTCTCTGATATCTACATTTGTAAACTTGCTTCAGACAAGTATCATTCAACCCTATGTGTATTAATCAAGTAACAGAAAGTGTCAGACTGGAAGACTGGACTGGACTGGATTGATCGGCACTCATAGAAAGAAGTAGATAGATAGAAGAACACACTAGAAAACATAAAAATCGAAAGGTATAGTTAGCGTGCCAGGAATTTAACCTGTCACCTCCAGACGGCGTCTGCGCCTCGCCATGAATACAAGTGCACAAAGAACATGGTCAACTAGGCACCCCCTATGTGTAGCGGACTAGGAATTCTGCTTAACTGCATACCTTCAGTTATAGTCGTAATCGATGAAAATTAGGTAATTACTGCAAATTTGATCCAAGACACAAATCGGAAAGAGTTAATCAAAATGTTCCTTTCTTGTCTTCTACTGCGTCTTCTTTCTCTACCACCTCCTCGGTTTATTTCTAAATTCAGCTGCTTCAACTTTGAGACTCACATTGCCCTTTTCTGGCCGTTTCAGTGCTTTTTTAAATTGACAACGTTAGCCTCTTCCCGTCTGGACATGGGGAAGAAACAGTAGCTCCCACTTTTAGATTGACTGGCTAGACTAACTGAATACAGATGTTTAGAATAGGCAACACAGTACGATTTCTTTTGGGAAAAGGGAGGGGTTGGCGGGGTTGGGGGGGGGGGGGGGGGGGGGGGGGGGGAGGTGGTAGATTCTGTTGTACGACAACGCGTCCGTGTATGTGTGTGAAGCTCATAAATCCTTCCGCTTGAGTTTATATTGTTATCCCTTACTTTATGAATGGCACCTATCTTATGTTACTCATTCAGTTTCTGCATCAGTGTTGCCACTTTGGTTGTTTTACATCCAGATTTAGATGTTTTCGCTTACATTTAGATGTCATTTCTATAAATCTGTTACTTAATTAATTACATTTAGATGGCGTTTTTTGACGTTTAGATAGTAGATGCTTTGCTAAATGTTTTTATTTAGAGTGAATGTATCAAATCTAATCTATGGAACAGAATGAAATTTGACCTCTTAAGTGCTATCTTGACAATAAAATTCGGACTGATAAGAGTAGGAAAAAGCTGTCCCATTTATCAGCTCCATGATTAGGTATTAAAAGAAATTAGAACAGCTAAAGCATACCGGAGTCATTTTGGATCTGAAGCTTCAACTTCATCATCCAAGCTAAGTTTATCCTCTGAATCTTGTACGGCAGACTTCAATAAAGATGAGTACATGATTCTATAGGGTAAGTCATATCAATAGCTATGTAATTTTTGACTCTTTCAATTTGGATGTTTTTTCTAGATGTTTTTCACGCAAATTTTGATTTTTTTTTAGATATTTGTTGGCTCCGTTTCGAATGTTTTCTGTCAAAGAAAAGGGGCAACACTGTTCTGCATGTGTTTCCAGTAACACCGTTTTTATATCTAGCAACAATAGTGACGCCTAGTCTACTTCCTGGTGGCCTCTAATGTATTCTTCCTCAATTCTTCCAAGAGATCTATACACCCTTGTTTATGCACCCTTGTTTATGCACCCTTGTTTGGTCAACTCAATTGGTGTTGTGATGAACAATTGTCATTATTTTCTTGGCCTTTCTTTAGCGCAACTTGTTGTTACCGATCAACCACAACAATATATCTCCAACACCTGTAGCCCTTTATTAGTATGTTATAGGGTCATAAAGGGCCATTGATGACAAGCACAGCGACTCATTCTTTACAGTTTATGCTTTGAAAAGTCCCTATATTCTGTTCTTTAAAACAACAACAATTCAAAAAAAAAAAAAAAAAAAAACAGCGTTTGCTACTGCAATGCAAACAGTGATCAAGACATGCAGACACAAAATTATATTCAAAACCTATTGAAAGCGAAACAAAATATAATGCAGTGTGCCATCATCGGGGCAACGAATGTCTAGAAAGACATATTTACTTTAAATGCTAGATACAGTTTCAAAGACCATGCGTTATGCAGATCTAACTTTTGAGTTCAATAAACCTCCCCTGTGATTTCCCAAACAAAACAGTCAAAAGTAATGCAAATATATTGACAGTATAATAAATCCTATCTTTTGATATCGTGTTGTCGAACATCACTTTATTATTATAAGGTAACACCGAATTGTTACATAATTTTTTTTTTAGTTGTACAGTGTCCGAAAAAATGTCATTAAAACATTGAAAGACTGAAAAGATTTTTAAAAATAAAATAAAATAACAAAAAAATGTCCACAATAAAAACTAAAATAAAAAATAACACTACACATGAACGCGCGCGCGTGCGCATACACACACACACTCACTCATACACGCATGCGTAAACACGTGTTAAAACCCAACAAAAACTATTTCAGCCTAAAATATAACGCACGTGTTCTGAAATATAACACTTTCTCAATTATGGTTTAGGTAGTAACTCATAGGATGGAGTTTGTGGGGTGGAGCACTGTGTAGTTTAACCCTTAGTATCATGTCGTTTGATGTGATTTGTGAAATAAGTTCTTTTTCGATCTCTATCCCCTTAAACGAATATTAAAAAAGGATACTGTGTGATAACAGCTAAGAAGGGCGTATAACTATAAATCTAGGATAAAAATGAAACTAAAAGATCAGTAACACTTACTAACATTTTCAACACCCAGTCGGGCCTATGGGTCTTAATTACTGTTGTTCATCCTCTAAGAGTTAATTATGACTTGACAGCTTGTTGAGAAAGAAAGCCGAAATGACGACCCACGACATGTTAAATAAAATAAACAGCTGCACGTTCAAATCCGCTAAATGATGTTTCAAAGTCGAGTAGAGTTTCCTCGAACATTTTTCTTGTATTTTCTCGATTACACGCGTACAGACCCTAGTGACATTTTTTGGACAAGTTTTGGCTTTGAATAAATTGCTGGCATATCTTGACTCCACTATTCCATTTGGACTACCTGTCCAGCTATTCCATATGTCATTAAATTTGTCACATCCATTGTCAGTATTTTGGACTGCTTTGTTGCCTGTGCTGATGTCACCAGCGTATATTTCAACACTACTCTGGCCTGATAAACTCGTAGACTGAGATCTGGTTTCATAGGGACAATTTGTTTCACATTTAAAATCTGGAGAACCATTTGCTTCCAGCTGACAAGTTTTATTTAGTGGCACATCTTTCTTGTCTAGGTGTCTTTTGATCATTTTACTGATATTGAAGTCGTTCCATCTCAGGTGTAGAACGGTGGCAAACACACAAGCGCCACTGTGAAGAAGCAACACAAACAAGTACGTTATCATGATGGGAAATGTGTCAGAGTTTTTAGGAAGTTGTTGTGACACCATTCCCATAAACAGAGACAGTGAGAGAAGGACGGTAATTGAAAAAGAAGCACGGTCTACGCTTCCTTCAGGCAAAACAAACGATAAAGGAGACAGAAACGACACCAAGATAACAGGAATGAGAACGTTGTAAATGAAAAACTCGGGCTTTCTTTTAAAATTCATATAAAACGTCACACGACTGAAAAATTCGTCATTGTATGTTTGTTCGTCAGCAATCACACTAGACGATATTAAACTCCATTCTCCATTTGAGATGTAAGTGTCATTTATAATGCTTGAGAAAGATGGAACGAAATGTATTTCTTGAATAAATTCTGTCGCCTGAATCCTGATAAAACATGTCTGCTCATCGAATGGAAAGTATGTCATGTTGAATGTACAATAAGCGGAGAACACATCACCGGGATACCATCGAACAAGACCATTTGAATGTAAAGAAGTTGGAGTATTTTGTCGATCAAATATATCTTTATATAAAAACGAGTTAGATATTAGTATACCAGGTCTCCAAACATCTTTAGGTGTCGGGTGAATCAATCGTATTCCACCATAATCTTTCGGATTCCAAGTTCGAATTTCATCTACCCATGTAAAGTTCAGCCAGGCATTGAGATCAAATTTTTGATCTGTTTCAACAAAGGTAAGTAACTTACGTACATTAAAGCTCACACTGACTGTAATTGGTTTGGAAGTGTTAACAGCTGGTCTAATGTTACTGTCGTATGACTTGAGAATGTTGTTGAACAAACGAACTGTGTCATTAAAGCCTGCCTGTGTTTTATGAAATACATATACTGCTATCAATAAAAAGAATAATTCTGTGAAATTCGCCACCTTGTCCAGCATATCGATAGTTTCTCTTGGCTTACGCGGTCGTCGTTTTGTTATAAAACCGTTTCTGATATTATGATTGTGTGTGTAATTTTTTCGCATTCAGATACTTTGAGATAAGTTGTCATTTTACTGAAGAATTCAAATTACTGTTACATATTACGAGATGGTAGAGCAGCAGTGCAAACACGTTGTGTATTTTTTGTGTGTGTGTGTGTGCCTTTCAAAGAATAACCATGTTGGTCTATTTATTTTAAAGCGTCCCAAAGTGGCACAACTTTAGATAAAAATGGCAAAAGTCATGGTGATTAGAAAATTTTTAACTACGATTTGAACTGTAGTAAAACATTTTACACATCTAACGTATAAATATGTAGTAGTATGATACTGAATCTCCGAGACAGGATGCTTCAGTATGTTCCAGCAACACTTTGTTGCACAGACTTCTTAGTCGAAGGTGATAGCTTTATTTTAATTAAGACATCGTTGTTTGTAGACATGGTTGTCCACAACTCGCCATTGAACATGTCGGGTTGGAACAAGTATGGCTAGTCAATTTGTGACCTGCTGCTGATCTTGCACATCTTCCGCTTCTCAAGTCAAAGATAATCTGTAAATAAAACATGTAAAGCCAGAAATCATGTAAGTACTTTTATATTAACCTAAATGATTGTTCCTAATAATGTTGATGCACAATTTATGTTATTGAGATTGCACCAAGTTACTAAACCACTGAGTAATGATACACAACTAGGTGTACAAAAAAAGTAAGAAAATCAAAGTGACATTCGTATTGCGTTTATTTTACAAAAAATGGCAGAGAAACGAAAACTTAAATGGTTGTAGGTGTGATAACAGCCTCGTCGGTTCCGGGGCCTCATTGTGGAGGAAAACAAGAATAGATTCACTGCGTCCCCGACAAACATGATGTAGGAGTCGACTAATTGTGGGCTTCTTTCCAAGTCAAAATGCATTTGTCCGAGCGGAAAGGAAGAACCAACTGCACACAAATAGGCCAGTAAACGGAGGTACACGAAAAACTAGGGCCCTGGCACAAAGTAAAAGTCCAGTGCAACCAGGAAACAAAATCAGAAGAAGAATAAGAAGAAAAAAAAAATAATAATAATAAAAAGAAGAAGAAGAAGAAGAAGAAGAAGAAGAAGAAGAAGAAGAAGAAGAAAGAAGAAGAAGAAGAAGAAGAAGAAGAAGAAGAAGAAGAAGAAGAAGAAGAAGAAGAAGAAGAAGAAGAAGAAGAAGAAGAAGAAGAAGAAGAAGAAGAAGAAGAAGAAGAAGAAGAAGAAGAAGAAGAAGAAGAAGAAGAAGAAGAAGAAGAAGAAGAAGAAGAAGAAGAAGAAGAAGAAGAAGAAGAAGAAGAAGAAGAAGAAGAAGAAGAAGAAGAAGAAGAAGAAGAAGAAGAAGAAGAAGAAGAAGAAGAAGAAGAAGAAGAAGAAGAAGAAGAAGAAGAAGAAGAAGAAGAAGAAGAGGAAGAGAAGAAGAAATAAGAATAAAAAATAAGATGAAAAAGAAAAAGAAGAAGACGAAGAGGAAGAAGAATATTTTTGATAACAGCAGATAAAGAATTATGTTGTGACACTGTGTAGTTGATTGACTAATTGAACCAGAAAGATATAAAGGGATGTGTTTACAAATTAAAAGACTATTAAAAAAAGTAAATAAAGCAAGGCTCAAGGAAAATGGCACGACACTCGAAATGCTGAATAGTAAATTCAGGAAAAACAGAAATAATGAAATCACAAACAGAAAGATCATACACATAAGTTGGATGCCTAAAAACCAAAGAAGATTAAAATTATAATGACTATATATGAGATTTTAGATACCTGGTCAGAGTATGTAAAAATCTTTATAACGATTCTCGTGAGGGAAAAGAAACTGATATTCCTAATTAAAACGGGTTATACAAACGTTAGTATCCCCATTTTTAGAATGTTGCACACTAGCTCACTTCTGATCGGTCGACCTTCAGCCTAGCCTACTTCTGATAAGTGGACGTTGAGCCACGCTGCCCTTGCGACAAGGTTACGGTGGTTTCCCGCAATGCCGTTGATATTGCGCATTGTATATTTCAGCACGCCAGCACTTTTAACACTCCAAAATCACCAACAAACTGGGTCTAACACAAAACCACATTAGAGAGAGATGAAATCTATGTCACAGGCATTCTCTTTCTCAAAATAAAAACGTAAATGCAAGACAACCCAGAAAGCAAAAAACAGAGTGGCACACCCGTAACCTGCAGGAGGGCAGACCAGCCCAAAAATACGTATGAATAGAACACGGCCTGCTTTGTTTGGGGGGGGGGGGGGGGGGGGTGGGGGGGGGGGGGGGGGGGGGGGGGGGGGGGGGGGGGGCTAACGTTTGTATAACCTTACAACAAATGTCCCAGCGGCATAGGACAGAAAAGGGGGTGAGGGAACTGCAGGCCGCTAGGGGTAATCACTGAAAAAAGGGGATGGGAAGAGTGGGGGTAACAAAATGGCCCCCCAAAAAAAGTTTTTTTATAATGAAAAAAAAAGCGGTTAGGAAAGGGGCGTGACAGGAAATTGTTCACACTGGGTACCGTCTGATTTTGCAACGCCAGTGGAAGGTCCACCGAGTTTTACGACGAACGTTTACAATGCGCTTAACCGTGTGAAAGGTGAAAAGAACGCAGGGTTGAGCCATCATTTCAAGTGTCATGATCAATGCATATATACGGACTCTGAATAGACCAGGTGTTGAATACAATTTACTAGGTAGCTTCAAAGAGTTTCAGGAATAGTCATGTTTTGTGTAGAAATAAGCAACACTACACTTTCCTTCAAAATGGCTCTATTTGGTAAATAAACACTTTCGTCAACGCCCATACAGTTGTTGGAAACATTCATGGAACCTAATCTTTGACACTTCTTTCAGCTGATGTGTCGCATTACTAAAACGTTGTCCTTTCAGTGCCGATTTTAGGCAAAAGAACAAGAAAAGATCAGCGGACACCAGGTCAGGAGATTACGGAGGATGGCCTGGAGCAGTCACATTTAGCGTGGCTGGATACTACTTTCCCGGTAGGGATTGATATGGCGGCGCATGTCACGCAGCAGAAACCAGTCGTATTGTTTTTCGCGTTAGGCGGTCACCCACATCATTTATCATCATCAACACTAACACTTTGCGGAATAGTTTGTACCACTAAAAAACTAATGATTTCGTTATTGTTATTTCACAATATGCTTTATTCAGCAACCTTAATGTTTCTACGGGTGGTTTGTCAAGTAAAACGGAAAATTTGACATTTTGACAGTTATTCTGTAACACACCAGTCATCACGTTGTGGGATGCAATTTTTTCATTATTTTGAAGCCCTACTCTGGCTCTTGCCAGGGGCCGCAATATAGCCAGGCCATAAATATGGCCTTATAGCTGAACGCGGTTCCAGGACCTCTCTACAGGTAATCCTCATTCGCATGGTGGCACTTTGTGTCATCGGGTGTTTATAGCTTGTGTGGTGTCCTGGTGGGGTAAAATCTACAACTACTACTAGAACATTTTGACCAAGGAATTTGTTTCAACTCCGACGATGCTACGGGCACAAAACAAACGTTTTTCTGTAATTTCTGTACAACAATGTATGTGAAGTTCACGTCGTCCAGTTGTGAGGCTTGCATGCACAGACTGTAATCGCCACCTTCACTTTCTATTGCAAAAGAAAAATTGTTACTATTTATTATTACCCTTTAATGTTTATTAAAAACATGCCACTAGGTTTCCGTCTAGAACATAGCGAAATAAAGGCTCGTTGCATGCTTACGCTACGCAGCAGAAGTTGAAACGTGTGGAAACTAGCAGTTATTAGGACTACAATGCTAGCTGCGTATGGAAATTCTCAACAGCTAAGTGAAGAGAACTTAAATATCACATGATACTCTCTACAATGTAATTGTTATCTGCTAACGCTTACTCCTGCGAACTGATTACTCCTAGCCATCGCGTCTGCCATGTCATTTGGTCAAAGTCACTATCAGAACTCATAAAAACTATAATCTTTATTACATAGTTACTAATTCAAACGTGAGTCGATTATTCTGTGAACATTTAAAGTAATCTCGTATGTCACCAAAGATATACTGACTAATATAAGTAGTTCTACGTTTACTGCAATCCAAAAGAGGCATTAGAATGGTACCAAATCAATCAGTTAGCATCAATGGATAACACTACGACTATTTTAATAGAAACCAATATGCAAAGAATTAGAAGGAAAATATATTATCTATATTAATAAAAATTGTAATTTTCCGTGGTTGTTAGCTAGAAACTCGGAAACTACTGAACCGATTGCTTTCAAATTTGCACACAACGTTGCCTTTGACTTCAAGCGTGATTTTTTTTTGTGCGAAAATCGCACAAACCACAAACGACGTAGCTCCAGCATTGGTCAAATCATTTTTTGTTTCGTTGCCGGCCCGGATTAGTTTTTAGTTTATTGGCCGTATTTGACTGCTGAGCTCTTATTGAACTTTGCATCTATATTTAAAAAAAAATGTTAATTTTCCGATGTTGTTAGCTAAAAACTCGGAAACTACTGAACCGATTGCTTTCAAATTTGCACACAACGTTGCCTTTGACACCAAGCCTGATTTTTTTTTGGTCACAAAAACGCACAAACCCCGAACGATTTAGCTCCAGCAACGGTCAAATCATTTTTTGTTTTGTTGCCGGCCCGGATTTATTTTTAGTTTATTGGTAGTATTTGACTACTGAGCTCTTATTAAACTTTGCATTATTATATAATTTCATTTCCACTATTTGCTTGAGTGTTTGGTAGCGTAGTTGGTAGCTATTCTGCCTATCATGTAGATAACACACGTTTGATTTCCCGCTAGATGATATATTTTTTTTTTTAGCCTTTAACTTGGCGGCTGGCACGTTGTGTTGTGGTTTATGGCTAGGCTGCGATATCTACGCCTTTTTCGGTTTTGGGGCTTACAGCTAGCCTGCGACAGCAGTAACGTAATGCT